AGGTTAGTTTTAGGTTAGGTTAGGTTACGAGAGAAGAGGCTAGGCGTGATTTATCTGCCACATTCCAACACCTGAGGAATATCAGCTCTTAATTTCAGGAAGATATCTATCATATAAATGCAGAAAGATTTGGATTTCACGACATCGTCAACACAATACTAAATGCATGTATCACGTGACATTGCACCCAGAAAGGGCGACTGTTTGCTCGGCTGCTATTTCGACTTTCATTTCTTTGCAACATAAAAAAGTATCGAGAGCCAATCAGTTTATTCGTCATGATTCAACGCAAACAGTTTTTTCTGTGAGGAAGTTCAATTCAAATGTTGACATAACCAAACAAAATAAAAGCAACTTCAAACGTTAAAAGCTTTTTATAACCGAATTAGTTCGCTTGATATCAATTAGTGGTTTTTACTACGCAAAAGACGCCTAAGAGATGCGTTCGTACGTTCCCCTGAAGCTTAAATGATGCGTTTGGTCGATATTTCCAGACTAAAGTTCGAGATTCTTTGCTGCGTACATGGCTGTCGCTTAGGCCACGACACTCGATAGGCGATTACAGAAATCCGTCACACCCGCTCACACAACGCATCATTCAAAATTTAAATGTCAGGTGTTCTGACCTCAATAATCATTACTTTCTTCAAAAGATGGCAGCTGTTTCAACTCATCATATGAGCCAAAATGCCAATTTCTTTTCGTTATACGAGTTACATTTCATATACTGCACCCACAATTTTTGGAAATAAATATCAGTTTGGGCAAAACATTTACGTAACATCAGCCAAGTGACCGCCTTCTTGCTACGCAGTCGACGACTCACAGAAATAAAATCATATTACTCCGCTCTGATGACGAGAACTGTCATCTACGGTTCTATGACTATCAGCGGATTTTCAAACACGGAATTCCCAATATCAATTTTTGTAAAATAAAATTTTCTCTTTGCTTAGCGCCAAACGATGAAGACGTAATACGAGGCACGAAGGAGATGTTCCGCATCTCGTAACTTCAGCACACAGATGAGTTCTAATCACCTTTAACAACACTGACGTAAACAGAGAAGAGAAAAAAGACGGAACAAAAGAGAGTCGAGCGCTTTGTAGAACCTCGGCAAGTTATCACGTGTTCCGCAAGAGGAGAAGTCCACCTTCCTCTTAAGCGACGTGCAGTAATAGTTAAAAAACCAGAAATATTAAGGACGTGGAATTGGTAAAATATTGACAAATATATTACAAACTGATTACTGTGGATGTTCTTCGGTTGACGGACGATAATTTTTCCTGTGATAGTCAACAGAATGTATCAAACGACCAGACATTGGGCAAGAAAGATCGATAAGAAATGCGACCATCTCACCAAGCGACTACGAAAACATTAACCGAATCCCATGACATTCGTACATCACACACTTCAAGGAGCGATAAATGACAGTCCCAGATGGGCCAAAATATGGCAACGTCAGAGAGTAAATAAAATGATTCTTTTGATGGCTTCCTTATTAATGCAGTCCGTACCACAACCCAGCATTACTCGTACAGTTTACCATTTTTTTTTTCCTTCAAATTACCTAATCTGATTGTCCTCCAACTTGAATTCATGTGACGATAAAAGAGACAGCTGGACGTACTTAGCCAAGACCCGCCAAATCTGCAGCTTTAGACAGCAACACTTGGATGTCGCTGGACGGGAAATTCTGCAAGGAAAAACATTCACACAGCTTTACGAAACAGCTCCCATTTTCACTTTTACAGAAGTGCAAAGTCGTGCGTCACTTGCGTTTCACATCATTACATCCTCACTTCAAATCTCAGCACGATCCTGTGACAGTATTTGTCACGACATTATTTTAGACAAAATCACAAATTTTTGTTATAATCATAAAAGACTTACACGGGTAAACCTCGATTTGCGCCGCTTTTGAAACCAGCAAGTCAAAAATTACTATTATTTATTACATTTTACAATGTTTCTCGTACTCATTCTAATACTAAATCGTAATTCGTACATCGCTGATTTTGAATAAAAATTATAAATACACTCACCACTGCACTCATTGCGAGATAATCTCCCAGAAATCCGGCAACGTTGCGCAACAGTCACGTGAGCATTGGTCACTCTTCAGGTGAGTCATTTGCGTTCAGCCTGATAAGGGAGTAAGGAAAAATGCGCTCAGGTCGCTCCTTGTTGACACATTGAATGTGCTGTTTGTGTTGTTCGACCACTATTCTGCAGTAGCAACTGTTTTATATTTATAAATTGCAGAAGAGCCACCAAGAGAAGTGAATGCGTTGCTAAAAAGTTGCGTTAGAAGATAAGATGGATGTAATTCGTAGAATAGAAGGTGGTGATACCCGTCGTAATGTGTGCAGAAGTACGAAGTTGCCTCCTACCATAATGAAAAATTCATAAAAATAAAAGTCGACGCAACAGGCTACGAGAGTAACTAAGTAAACTTTTTGAAAGAACAGAGAAATTACTGTCGCTGTGGGTGGATGACATGAATCAAAAAAACATTCCCTTGACTGAAATTACTATCACGGATAAGGCGAAGTCAATTTTTGAGGAACTTGAGTCGTCAACGTTTGGGTGCCGGGAACGCACGTCATCGACTTCCCATTGATTCACATTACAAAAACAGTTTCAATTTACGCTGGTTCGTCCAGAAACGCGTCCCCGGCGTAAATCAAGGTTTACCTCCCCTGCACGTGCCTTCGCTGAGAGGTTACGACCATGTTATAATGTCACTCGCTCCCGACAAAGAAACAAGCGTGGTCACAACGTAGTCTAAAAGGAGTCAAAATGTTGAGCCATCATACTGGCAACAATCATAACAGTAATTATGCATGTAAAAAGGGCTTAAGAAGCGTCATAATGTTGATGTCATTCACTCACCTGTAAGAGTTTCACATTTGCTGGAAAATCTCCGCTAAGAAGTTCCTTCCTAAGCAATCTGCAAAGACACATGTTCGAAATTAGGGAACTATAGAAATATCATAACCAAATCTTCAGGTCAAATCCAAACACTGTCAGTCAGTAAGATAACGGTCTTCTGGGTCACAGCGCTGTGTACTGCTTACTGATGTTTCATACGTACTTGCTGCCTCCATAATCACCCCCACTGCCTTGAGCACATCTGCAACATCAGTGAATTTCCACCAGACTACACAGCGCTACAACCCAGAAGAAAGCCATTAAAACTTACGTTACAGGAAATTTCTCCCAACACCATGCAGTGTTACAACCCACACAACTTGGTAATCAATAAAATCACTCACATGATCATAGAACAGCAGATGTAAATGAGAAAGTCAAAACGACATTCATCAGCAAACAGAGAATCCCAGATGCGAAGTACATCGGGCAGTGGAAACTCTTGCGACAAAAGTAACGTCAGCCACCTGGCAGCAACACAAGACATCACCACATTGTATTTATTACACCCCACGGCATGTGCGTAAGTTTACGAAACATCCGACAGAAAGGTACAGCAACCGCAGGCAGAACCGCCTGGTAAACACATGATAAGCGAGTGAATTGAACATACTCAAGAATGTCTTTAAATTAAATAAAAAGAAATTACTGATGTTATCAACGCGAAACAGAAGTTATATATGAAGCCGAAACACCCGTCACTTGATTTGAATGAAGGAACGAACATCATAAAATATGCCGTGACACATTTTGTATCTTGGTTGGGGACTTAACTCGAGAGCAAAAAATAACCGCCAAAGTTGAACAAGTTCTTTACTGACCTGGAAATTGTGAACATGGAGATCCCTCAGTTTCAAGCGCTTACAATAATAGAAAATTTTAAAAATAAATATCACGCTAATTTCATCACATGCTGCGTACGCTGAATTCTGGATCCAATGTAACTCTGGCTTCATGCATTCCCATCTGTTTCATTTTAAATCTAACAAATGCAAATTATTATACTCCCCTGTGAAGCTTAATGTTCACGAACTGCTTATTTTCATATAAAACATCTATTTCTTGCAGTAAAACAGCAGAAATCTACCTCATATTACTTGCAATGGTTGAAAATTAAATCTCAGTCATTTTTTTGATAAAACCTTCTGCCTTCATTCAAGCGAACAGTACCTGAAACTATAGTACTGTGGGCAAAGTTCTTGCTGCTGCAGCTGAGACCAGACTGGACGATCAGTACTCTTAAGCTGTTCCCCTAGTTTCGACATCATTCCGTTTATCCCACATTCTGCTTCATCCAGTGATTTGATGAAAAAGTCTCTTATCTCTCCCATTAAATTTGTGAAACAAAAGAAACAGTCTGCCTCCGCATGTTCTGAAACAATACAACTAAATTATAGTCTTAAAGGATTAATGCACAGGTAGATTCAATATTTCCACTCGCCAGTCTTAACAGTCATTTCTGGCTAAGATAAATGTTTGTGTCATTATCTATCACAGTTTACAGCTCGCATTACACCAAATCCAATCTGCACGCTGTAATAATGGCTATATATTCAGTATATTCTAACATTACACAGACTATGTACATGCCTACGCAGGCACTTGGGGTGAGTGGAGGTATAGCTCCTCTCTTCCTTGACCTCGGCACTAGATGGGGGTGAGTGGTCAGCATCACGCCCCGGCCGTGCTTTATCCCCGGGAAAGGACCCCGGTTCCCATTGTAGAGGAGGCTGGGTGGGCCCCAGAGCCGGTCTGGACGCAGAGGCTAGAGGAAAAATCCTCTGCCCCCGTCGGGGATCGAACCCCGATCGCCCAGCCCGTAGCTAGTCACTACACTGACTGAGCTGTCTCGGCTCATACACAGACTATGGGGGATTTGGAAAAATTTCATAATAGAGCACTTTTTAAATGCAAGAAATTAACATCACAATGAAAATAAAACAGAAGGATCATTATTAAAAAGTGTTGTGACAAATGAATTAAAAGCAATGTTTTTTTAAACTTATTACACAAAAAGTCATTATGATGATTTCCACCAAAGGTATACTGTGTACACGAAAATTTTCACATAAGAAAATCTTCCTTACACAAGGGATGAAAACAGATTTGGTTTTTGAAACATTGCACATTTTTTTGGAATACCAGACAATGGAAAAGTCAAAAAAAACTCAGCAATCCAGATTGCAACATACCATTGTCAAAAGCCTTTAGAATTGATCTTACTATTTTTTTTTATTTGGTTAAAATATCATAATTATATATCTCAAGAATCAATGGCTCAACCAACTGAACCATGCTGGCAGCATCGCTGCTACTTCTGACATTCATAAAGTCTTTTGGCTTTTTCAGAAAAGAGGGAAATGAGAGTCTTGTGAGGAAATCCACATAGGAACCAGCTGATGTCAAACCCCGTTAATTTTCAGTGCTTTATCGCTAAACCAGGTCCCCCCATAACGTCTAATGTTATGTGACCTCTTCCTTACCTCTCCAGTCCAGATCAAGGTCACAAGCAAAGGTGTAATAGATGGGCCCAATAATTTCATTCATTCCTTGAACATATCCCTGTCCAGGGTTCAGCTTTGCGTACAGGAACAGAATTCTCTCCACCACCTCCCAGTGCGCTTCCATTCCCTCTGGCATTGGTGCATAGTCTTCAGGAGCCTTCTTCACTGAGAGTGCTATCTGACATTCAGACACAAAATACTGTATTTCATAGATTTTAAGATGCAATTTTCCACACTTTAAAATTTACAAAATTGAGGTACACATGTCTTTAAATTTGATGGAGTCCAAGAATCGACGTTCAAAAATTATATCGTGTGACTACAGCACAAGTCATGGGAAAGTAAGGACAGAGACAGAACAAAAATTCCAAAAGTATTAATATGAAGAAATGTTATGTTTGAAATATCAACAATTCCTGTTGTAATACATGTCTTCCTCATTTCCTGTAAATCTATTACTAAGTCAAGGGCGCGTCTTAAAAGGAAATATGGAACAACCCTTACAGATCAATTTTCTTTCAAATCAGTTCATTGTGGGAATTCACAGACCTCATGGCCAAAAAGGAATTGTCTATATATACATAAAAGTACAAGAGGTGATTTCACTTCTGCGCCTGTTCCCCCCTTCGAAGCGACCCTCCTCTCTATTTCACACTGTTGTCAAATTAAACATGACCGACTGGCACAGAATACAAGGGGTGGTCCATTCGGAGGGGTTAGTTTAGTTTCTTACGCAAGGTTGGTTGTGTTTTACAAACTTGACCAACCACCCCGAGGCGCTCCGAAAGGAGCGCTCTGCTCTAGTTATGTAAGATAACTGGTCCAAAAATTATTTAAAAATTGTTACAAAAATAACCAACACATGAACAGTCCATGAAATTAATTAGTCAGACATTTACATACAGGCAAAAAATTATAAATGATCTGAAGCTTTCAGGGCGACTAAGTATAATAAATTCTTCTTCAAATGTTGGTGTTTTCTTCATTAAGCCACCTTACATGGCTGGTAGCCCAAGACAAATTAATCATAGAAAAATACAAATTTATAATATGGGCACTGCTGACTGTCGTGGGTACAAAATCATGTAACAAAACTACACTTTGTGAATTGTATACTAAGTAAAATTAAAAACATGAACATATAACAATATAATAATAATAATAATAATTATATACACACCTGCTGCTAGGGTGCAATGGGAAAGAAAACATATTTACATTAGTTCAGCATCCACATCAACACAAAATGCAAAAGTTTCTGAACTTTCCATTAGATTCAGTGTTCTGCGACCATTTTTCTCTCATGGCATGGGATGGCACAACACAAAATGTCACCTCATAGAAAGGGTACACAAAACTAGGAAAACACACTGTTAAGTTTGAAAATACCAATCCTTTTTGACTTCTCTGTGGATTTTTGGCAAGTTCCATCATTTCTGAAAAATCCGAAGCTTAGTCTTAGATGGAAAGAGTAGCAGGAGGCTCAAAAGACTTGTATAATGAGGATCCTCATAATTTTTACTTTTCACATATTATTATTATATGTTAAAATGGAGGATACAGGGCATGTAGCACACACGAGAGAAATTAAAATTGCGTACAAAAATATGGTCAGAAAGCATGAAGGAAACAAATCATTTGGGAGACCTCAGCGGAGAACGACATTTGTCAGGAAAACGTCTGTGTAATTGGAAAATTATCTCTAAATATTTCCTTGGCATGCTGCCTTCAAACATCCTCATTTGAAAGCTGAAAATTGGTACAGACCTTCTACTTAAACTAGAGCACCTTATTTTATGAAGTTATTCCCATAACCTTAATGTAATTACTACTGTTTGTCTAGAACAACATATTCAGACAATGTCAGATTAGACAATCCAGGGGTTTGGCAAACATATTTTAGAGGCCCTCTTCTATTTGTTATACAAAGACGATTACATGGTATTTGAATATGAATTGGAATGGAAGGTCAGGAGACATAAAATATAAGACCTTTGGATATACTAGCCCAAATTATACACAAGCCAGTGGGTGTGCTTCCTTGCATTCACAGACAAGATATTTAAATGGATAAGGATCTTGAAGGACACTCTAAAATTATGTAATATGTAAGTATTGCTCTGCGGTACTGAATGTAAGCACCTTAGATAATGAATTATAAATGGTTGTTACAATGTAACAGTTTTGGATGAAATGACAATTTAGATACATGTATAATTATAAAAACCCAGGGCGAGCTTCAGCTACTGGACGGGTCACAGGTGGCAGATAGTAAGCGGCCCTCAGATATGAGGGTTACCTGTGAATAAGGGGAGACCCAAATAACCAGTCCCAGACCGGAGAGCGTGGGAGTGTAGCCGGTGGCGAGGCTATGCTCATCAAATACCACATGAGATCAGTGAAGGTCCCGTGACCTGGCCAGTAAGCCCCCCACTGCCTTGTGGGTAGGGGAGGGATCCCCAAAGACTAAGGGAAGGAAAACCCTGACAGAAAACCAAGGGGTAGAGGGGGCTCCATAGGTGTAGAGAAACCACCCTTCTAAGGGAATGAACCCTGAATAAAAACTTCCAGTCCTCCAGGAAGATGGGGGTTGGACATTGGGTTAACAACCCAATTCCGGAAATAAAATGATGTTCAGACACTCTTGAAACGAGACCTCGGAAACATGACTCCCTTTGGTAGACGACGTGGAAAACGGAAAAAGCACATCATTTTGGCTACATGGAACATCAGTAGCTTACGAAAACCGGGCGCTTTGGCAAGGCTCAAGGAAGAACTAGGCAAATATAAAGTTGATATTGCTACAGTGCAAGAGATGAGACCAACAACGGCCACCAGACCAGTGCACTAATAGCTAAGTGCAGAATACAATACACCAACTCCTGTGAGACCAACGTCCAGTGAAGTGTTACTTATTATGGTTTTTGTAAACAACTCACCTTCATGATCTGTTTAAAAGCATATTTTTTCTGATTATATTATATGAATTAATTCCCTTTTTGCTACTAAGGATGACCTCTTGAGGTCGAAATGCGTTTGGCACTAGTATTATTTATAGAGTAAACAGTTTGTTTATATGCTTAATTTTATATTCGAAAATACTACACGGTATGCAAAGTTTTAAAAATAAGCTGTGAAGTTGCAGCTTACCTTGGTAACACCAAGACCCTTCCGCTCAACATTAGCAGATTTGAGAACAGTGTGTTGCACTCGTTTGTGCAAGCGTTTAACGCCTCTACTGTGCACAACCTGCTGACAGGGAAAGTCAGTAGCTTGTTGAAAAAACGATATGTCGGGACACAGACGTCTGAAAGCAACACCACAGCTAGTTTAGCTAACAGAATGAGGCACTCTTCAGTTTTTAATATTCCTTCTAAAATACTTGAAATTTTGATCATATCCTTCAGACAAAAACACATGTCAACTGGCTTATTTAATGACAATGTATCACTGCAAAATCACAGGATGGTTAGGAAAAAAACCTATTTTAAGTACAAAATTACTAGCATTATCATGCAGTAGCTGAGAGCAACCACAAAACATCAGTCAGCCTCTGACTTGAGATTCAAAACCAAAATCTTCCAAACAGGAAACAGCAGTGCACATTAGGCAACTGCATGTTACATGTGCAAGGAACATCAGATGAAATACATGAACTGCAAGGTCTTTTGTATTTCCTCGCAGACGTTAGGTTACAGGGTTAAGCAACAGGCTATATTCCTTACCTTACATCTTTATCAATTTGTAAAAGTACTTCATTGTCCTTGAAAAATGTCTGCCACTGGCTATCTGGATTTGAGTTTAAAGGATGATCAGCAAATGTCACATCAACTCTTCTGCCATCAATCTGGGTTGCTCCTGGCATTACAATCATTTCTTCTGAAATTATGAGAACTGTCATAGTACAAACACTAGAAAAACATTCACCTGCAGTACCACTTTGTGTGAATGTTTTCTAAAAACACAAAAATAAAACTTCTTTCAATAAGGCATGTTTGTATATAAGTAATGAATATAGTATAAAATATGTATAAAATTAAAATCGTGTGTGTTTGTGCATACTTTGAGAAAAGATACACAAAACTCGGTATGCTTATTCCTTGGGAGCAAGAAGAGATTTCAGAAAACTAATAATGATGAAAAATTGTCTGAATTTGAGTCTCAGTGAGGGTGACTCCTGTAGCTACAAAACTTGCGAAAAGAGAACAACGGCAAAGTTGCCTGCTTCAAGGAGGAGATTACAGAAACAAGGCGACAACAATGAAGTATCCTGGGTTCAAGACCCAGTGATGATGATTGCTGTAGCTTGGAAACTAAACACTTGTAGAATTTCTCCAAGTTAAGACTGCGGGCACTATGCTAGTTCTATAATGCAACTTTACTGTGAAGACGATGAGTGAGGCAGTAGGCATATCTAAAGTGTCCATCTCCACAGACTACAAGGTGCAACATCCCAGAAGAAAACTGTTCTGATTTGTCAAAGATTATCACCCATTTTTTTCTGAATGCTTTCTTCATTTTTACCATTTATAATGAGTATTTTGTGAATAATCTATTCTTAATATGTTACAAAAAATGAATCTGTTCCTAAATCCATACAAGAGAAGTGTATAGGGAACACAAAGATAAAATTCAGCGCCAGATAGCAGT